TTTGACTGAAAGGACTGAACACTTGTCTGGGGTAGAATTGCACTAGAGACCTCTCACTGTAACCTGCCATTGATTGGCATTTTCAGGGAATAAATTACTGAAACTGCCAGAGTTATGGTGGTGTGGTTTTGGTTTGGTTTGATTTGATTTGATTTTTTTTTTTTAGCAGCGTGCAGCTATTATAAAAATAGTTTTTATCATGACAGGGTTCTGCTTTGAAGTAAAAGTAAAGTAAAGGCCCTCCCGTTGATCATCGATTTGCTCGAGCGGGCCCAGTAACGTCTCCATTGGAGACTTTGTTGTTACTGTGTCTGGCATATCGAATACTCTCGGTAGCTTGCCGGGCTCTCCGAGAGGGGCGGAGGAATCGAACTCGGGTCGGCCATGTTGGTTGCGTGCAAGGCAGACACCCTATCCGCTGTGCTATCGCTCTAGCTGCTTTGAAGAAAGTTGTATATATCTGAACCTGCCAAGGAAAAAATAAATTCTTTGCAGAAAACTAGTGGATGCCCAGGTCTTAGCATGTGGTGATTTCTGTTGTTTTCTTTTTTGCCTCCCCCCCTTTTTTGTGTGTGTAGGGTCACACCAGCAATACTCAGGGTTTTCTCCTAGCTGTACTCAGGGGACCATATGGGGTGCGGGGGATTGAACCTGGATTGGCCGCATGCAAAGCAAACGCCCTACCCATAGTACTATCTTTATACCCTAATTTCTGTTGTCTCCCTCCCTCCCTCCCTCTCTCTCTCTCTTTCACTTCCTTCCTTTCTCCTTCCCTTCCTCCCTTCCTTCCATCCTTCTTCCCTCCCTCTCTCCTTCTTTCCTGCTGTTTCCCCTAACTTCAGAAATACTCTGGCTGATCATCCATGTAATCTGTCAGTGATGAACTCACAGACTCTGGACCCATCCTCTTTAGCAGAACTAAGATTCCCTGTCAGAGCAGGGATCACCTTTGAAACATCTGTCATAGCATAATCTTGCCTTAGCAGTCTGTTACTTAGTGGCCCTGGATTACTGGACCAGATGGTAGCTTCTCCAAGCATGTTTCTCACTGATAAAATAGGAATTGTGTCTTGCTAGTATTTTAGGGAAGTGTGTGCATGAGGGCCAGGGGGTACAATAATAGGAGATGATATTGAAGTCAAATAGAAACGAGTTGTTGGGTAGAGTTGGAAAAATACATTTCCACTCATTTGACCACAAATCTGACCACTTTTTCCAGCTGCTTCATAGTACTCAACAACCAGCTTCCTCTCTTCCAGTCATATCTGGAGCAGAGTTAATTGGGTTCTTGCCCTTAGGACCATCCAGAGCCACATATCCATGTAGCACTATAGCATTGTCCTCTCATTGTTCATCGATTTGCTCGAGTGGGCACCAGTAATGTCTCTATTATGAGACTTCTTGTTACTATTTTTGGCATATCGAATACATCATGGGTAGCTTGCCAGGCTCTGCCATGCGGGCGCAATACTCTTGGTAGCTTGCCGGGCTCTTCAAGAGGGGCAGAGAAATCGAACCAAGGTTGGCCCAGGTCAGCTGTGTGCAAGGCAAACGCCCTGCCCGCTGTGCTATCGCTCCAGCCCATATCCATGTAATGTGTCTGAATTTGGACACGCTGTATTTTGGAAATGCATAGAATCTGGGATTGTTTCATTCATCTCCCGCCTTTTAGAAGGAAGGAAGTCGGAACTTTGAGGATTTTGGCAACTAACCCAAACCCTGGACTAGAAATCACCTATCTTGACTTTTGACCAGATCTCTATTTATATTTATTCACTCATTTTCCACTCTGTCATTTGTTTGACAAACTTCTTGTTAAAACTAGTACCACCTTGAAAATTACTCTACGTCATTTTTGCATAGTACTCAATGTGGTATGCTTAAGATAAGAGGTCATTAATACCACTCATTGCTATAGTACCCATTATAAGTAAATTATTCATTACATTTGTGATATAATGGGACAGAGAAGAGGAGATGATTGCTTAATTCCCAGGACTACTGTTGTTTCCGTGGATTATGTTATTCCACTTTACATTACTTTCAACTGAAAAAATTCATTATGGAAGGTACAATTATGAACAGTTATTTATTTGTTTTTGATATACATTGTATACACTTTTATTGGATACATAACTGGGAGGAGAATTGTTCAAGTATGTCTGTTTTTAGCCTTTATAGTGTATGCCAGCTTTCAAAAATAGTGTACAGTTTACTCTCCTACAGCCATTTAAAAGAATTGCAACTGTTCTAGATCTTTACCAGGGACTTGATTTTGATAGGCCGTGTTATTTCTTAAACATTTTTTAAAATCCTTATTCTATTTATTTCATTTTTCTTTGCTTTTTAAATGAATGGTGGATATATAATTTATCAGATGCTTTCTCTGAGTCACTAAATATTGTCATTTGATTTTCTGTAAATATGACATATTGGTTCACCTTTGCACATTAAACGAAAATTCCTGAAGAGCTCTAAATGGTTTATATGTCATTGAATTGGCTTATTAATGTTTGTGAAAGGAAATATATCCTCATCAGGATTTGGTTTCAGTTGTTCTTTTGTGTCAGAGATATAGTACATCGGGCAAGTCGCTTGCCACGTAGACAGCTCTGATCCCTGGCACCCTATATGGTACCCAGAGCCCCACCAAAAGTGATTCCTGAGCACAGAACTAGGAGTAAGCCCTGAGCACCCCCCAGATTGCCCAAGTAATAAATAAGTAAATAAGAGAAAGTAATGTTAAATTAATTCCTTAAGGAGACTAGGTACTACTGGGTGTGACCCCCCAAAAAAAGTGTTCTTAAAAGTGTGCATAGGAAAATAACTAATTTTGTCATTTTTCTTATGGAAGGACTTTTAATTGCAGACTTAATTTCTTTATTAGATGTAGGATTATTTGGATTTTTCTAATTTTTGTGTTGTCAATTTTTTAAAGGAAATTTTTGTTTTATAAAAATTTCACAATACTCAGTTATGCTAAATCCATATTTATAATAGGCTTATTATTTTTAAATTTTTATAGGAGGTTTTATTTTAATTATTAGTTCCATCACTATTCTTGCATCAGATTTTTTTTTGAGGATACACTTTTTTTTTATCTTTTCTTATATTTATTTATTGAATCGCTGTGGGAAAAGTTGCAAAGCTTTCAAGATTAAGTCTTGGTCATACAATGATCAAAAACCTCTCCCTTCTCCAGTGCTTATTTTTCACCACCAATATACCCCCCTCTCACCCCTCCCAATGCCTGCAAGGCAGATGATTTCTACTTAACTCTCTCTCTACTTTGATTACGTTCATTATTTCAACAAAAGATACACCTTTATTGTTTAGAATTCCCCCCCAACAATCAGAATTGCTGAAAAGGCATTGTGAAATAATTTATTTTCTATAGCTGGTTATGAGAACCATATAATGTCGCACAGCCGCAATAGCGGCCACGCGATTTTGGATTTCTGATATTTTACTAATTAACTCTGGAGGGAATTCTGCAAAGAGCCAGATAATTACGAGATTGGTTTCTGTGTGTCTGGTGTCATGGCCGTGCTGGAGAGCCGCTTGTGGGGGGCAACTCGTGACCTCGGTAGGGCGTGAAGCACGAGCCAGTACTGCCCCCCTTCCCATGAGACTGCAGTTGTCCCGCTGCTGGCTCATACCTGGCTTTCCAATAAGCCCTGAGGCGATGGTCACCTCGCTGGGGGGGGGGGGGGAGATGGAACATCATATTTCTTTGCTCTTACTTTGTTAGGCTCTTTCTTTTTCCAGAAACCCCGAATCACTCAAGTGTCTTCAAGTAATAGTAATTAGGCTTATTTTGAAGTCACATGCAGCCACGGGAAAGAAATAATATTGGAGAGACTGAAGTGCGTAATTAAGTAAAGTTAGGAGACAGTTCACACCTGGAACAAATTTTCACACCTGGAACAGATTTTCTTTTATTCCTTCAATAGTAAGACTTTTTAATGTTTTACTCTGATACCCCATTTACATGAAATTTCTCATGGCTCTTCCTGGTTTTTTACTTTTTGTATTTCACCATCATTGCTAACTCTTTCACTGCTGTTTTCTATACTTTTCTTCATATCTGTTGTTTCCTAAAATGACTCCTGACTCACGGTCACCTAGGGTTTGTAGAATCAGTCATGTTTCTTTTCAAGTCTCCTTAGTTCTCAGTTTAGACTCCCAAGAGACCAGGCAGTTGGCTCAGTTTTAGGAAGCTTCTATGTGAAGCCACCTCTTAGGTAGTAGATGGGTTATAAATTGGCTGTTCTTGACCAGGCAGATACTGCAAAAGGTGGTAGTTTCCCATAGCCCAGAATGTAAATACCTTGGACTAATGGCGAGCTGCCTTTGGATAATTTCCCTTAGAAAGGGTCTGTGCAGAGTGACTGTGGTAATTGACTGGTACAGGCAATTTCTAAAAACAGTCATTGTAAGTGTTGCAGTTCCCCTGCCTCCTTTACTTGCTCTTGTTAAATGGCAACATGTATCAAATACATGTTGATAAAACTCAAGTTGAGAATTTTCTATTATAAATCTCATTAGATATCATTCAACTTTAGCTGGAAAATTCATGTGCTACCACCCAATTTAGCACTGTGGGCAATTAGATATACAATACCTGTAGTTTTAAGAAGGACAAATGGAAATCATTAGATTTTAATGTTAGCAATTTAAAGCTTAAGCATGTACACACAAAGATCAGTTAATGAGAAATTCGTGATAGTTACAGTTCAGATTGTTTCTCTTTTTTCCTTTTTGTATTGTTGTTTCCCAAATAAATTATGTGTGCTGCTAAGAATTCACTTGCCTACAGTAGTACAGTTCAAGTTAAATGCAATGAAATCTTTCCCTCTGTGATATTTAAGAGGTAACAGTCTTAAATACCACAAAGGAGTTTTTGTCTAATGAATTTCCACTTAAAGTCTAAATTATAGCTATTACATTAAAAAAATTTCTCTGGTACAATAAGCAAAAATGCTCTTTAATTTTTCTAGGGGAACTCAGAGAGAGTAATGATAATCACTGGACCAAACATGGGTGGAAAGAGCTCCTACATAAAACAAGTGGCCCTGATTACTATCATGGCTCAAATTGGCTCTTATGTTCCTGCAGAAGAAGCAACAATTGGAATTGTGGATGGCATTTTCACAAGGTAAGAAGTTCTGTTTTAATACATTTTGGAAAATAAACCAAGGCCCCATTGTCACATGAATTTTCTTTTTATATGGGTACATTTGTATTTCATATCTTTAGATCTGGGTATGTAGCTTAATGGTAGAATTCAGGCCTCAAGAGAAAAAAAGATTTCAGGCCTCATTTGTCTGAGACCCTGAGTTTGATCCCTAATACCACACACACACACACACACACAAACACACACACACACACACACACACACACTAAAGTATTTAGAGCACTGAAGCTTAAAGAAATTATTTCAGCATGAGTGTCAGTACCAGATGAGACATAGGAGATCATTTTGCCCATATTCCGAAAATTTTGCTTAGTTACAGAGTTCTACTTTAAAGAAAAATTTATGCTAAACATCAATATTTCAACAGATCAAAACAGAACTGGAGATATAGTTCAGCAGATAAGACGCTTGCTTTTCCTATGGTCAATTCAGCTGACCCCAGTTCATCTGAGGCACCCCATTTGGTCCCCTGAACACCCAGAGTCATTCTTTTTTTCATTAGTGAAACACCATGAGGTACAGTTGTAGACATACAGATTTTTGTGCTTGGGTTTCAGTTATACAATGATCGAACACCCAGCCCACCACCAATGCCCATTCTCCACCACCACTGATTCCAGTATCCCTCCCACCCCCCACCCCCCCATCTCATCCTTCCTCTGTGGCAGGGCATTCCCTTTTGTTCTCTCTCTCCTTTTGGGTGCTGTGGTTTGCAAAAGAGGCATTGAGTGGCAATCATGTTCAATCTATAGTGTACTCTCAGTACACATCTCCCATCATGGGAGGATCCTCCCAACACCCTTTATTTGGTGTTCCATTCTCTTATCTGAGTTGCCTTTTCCCCTAGCGTGTGCTGCTGGCCTCCGAGCCATGGAGTAAACCTCCTGATACTTATCTCGGCTATTCCTGGGTGTTAGTCTCCTATTTTGCTACTTTATGTTCCCCAGATGAATGCAGTCTTTCTATGTCTGTCCCTCTCTTTCATTTCACTTAGCATGATACTTTCCATGTAGTACCACTTGTATATGCATTTCATGATTTCATCTTTTCTAGCAGCTACATAGTACTCCATTGTGTAGATGTACCAAAGTTTCTTTAACCAGTCATCCATTCTTGGGCACTCAGTTTTTTTCCAGATTCTAGTTATTGTAAAGAGTGCTGCAATGAACACACAAGTGCAGATGTCATTTCGACTATACTTTTTTGCCTCTCTGGGATATATACCCAGGAGTAGTATTGATGGGTCAAATGGGAGCTCAATTTCTAATTTTTTGAGAATTAGTTTTCCAAAAGGGCTGAACCATTCGGCTTTCCCACCAGCAATGAAGGAGGGTCCCTTTCTCGCCACATCCGTGCCAGCACCGGTTGCTTTTGTTCTTTTGGATGCAGGCCAGTCACTCAGAGTCATTCTTGAAGAATAGCTCCTGACTGGAGAGGTAGTATAGGGGTCAAGGTGCTTGCTTTGCACACAGCTAAGCCAAGTTCTACCCCCAGCACTACACATGGTCCCCAGGTACAGTCAGGAGTCACCCCTGAGCACTGCAGGGTGTGGCTCCTAGACCCCACAGTAGGTACACAGGCAAATTCGCTCTGGCCCAATCTGAGTTGGAAGACTTGGAGACTTGGCTGATAGTCTGTGCAAAGTACAGTAAAAATTTAGTCTACCCTCATTGCCTTATCAGAGGAACAGAACATACTAGAAAAAACACTGGCTTATGATAGTTTATGTTCTTCCATACAGATAACCCTCAATATAAAAGCCTGAATTCTGTGCCATATTTAGAACATTAATGAAATTTTATGGTTTCACTAATTAGATCTGTAGTTTAACTTATTTATTCAGTTATTAGTCTAAATATGACAATTCTTAAAGTATGATTTGTACTGCTTACATGCATACTTTTAAGAAAAGAAATTCAGTCTGTTAATAGGCTATTGCTTAATGTGTCTGAAGGTTTCTTTTGTGGGGGAGAGGGGTCATACCTAGTGACACTCAGGGTTTACTCCTTGCTCTGCTCTCAGGGATCACTCCTGGCAGGCATGGGGGACTATATGGGATACTGGGGCTTAAACCCGGGTTGGCTATGTTCAAGACAAAAGCCCTAACTGCTGTACTAGCTCTTCCAACTTTATACTCCTTAAATATTTGACTCTGGAATCACATCAGACTTTATCACATGCTAATATCAATTTGAATAGACATTCAAATACTTCCTTTAAAGTGTGCTTTTAACTTAAACATCAACAAGCCAAATAATCTGATATTCTGTTGTTTTATTACCAAACAAATACTGCTTTGATGTTCACTTTATAACTCAACATAGATGAATTAAAGAATCTTTTTTATTGTAATTAATCTATTGTGTAAAATGAATATACTAGGCATTTTATTTTAGTTACATTATTATGGAGAGAGACATAAATTTAACTAAGAGATAAAGAATAAAAGTTTTAAAGAGAAAACTAATGGGCAAGGTAGGGAAATAGCACTGTAGCACTGTCCTCCTATTGTTCATGGACTTGCTCGAGCAGACCCAGTAACGTCTCCATTGTGAGACTTGTTGTTACTGTGTTTGGCATATCGAATACGTCACGGGTAGCTTGCCAGGCTTTGCCGTGTGGGCAAGATACTCTCAGTAGCTTGCTGGGCTCTCCGAGAGGGGCAGAGGAATCAAACCGGGTCGGTAGGGTCAGCCACATGCCAGGCAAACGCCCTACCCGCTGTGCAATCGCTCTAGCCCACAGGTTAACTTACAGGACATAAATAACTGTTACTTAATGCACAATCGAGAGGTGGGAAAGGTGAAGATCAGTGTGGGGTAGTCAGTCAAGAAAGGCATCCTGGAGGAGGTGGTAAGGCAGTAGGGGCCAGAAAGGTGAATCCGACTTGAATTCAGTTAAGAGCAGGCATTCAGGAGAAGGCCAGGGTGTAGCAACGTAGGAGGAACAGAGGTGCGCAGAGCCCTTCCCCAGCTTACTGTCCAGGTCCCAAAATCAGAGATATAGACTCCACAGGGAGAGTCGGGAGGTTATGGTTTTCCAAAGAGCACTGTACGAGGAGCACCTGGGTCCCTTCAGAGGAGGAAAGAGAAATGCTGTGATTCTGCCCCACTCCTTCCAAGGCCCCCCACAGCCGGTCTGGCTCACAGGAAGGCGATGATTCGTGTCTGGGCCCAATTCTAGCTGGTTCTAGAGTCTGTGTTGGGACATGTGGGGTGGCCTCTGGCTGTTGGAACCAGCAGCCGAGCCCTCCCCTCAACTGAACCAATGACGCTGTCCAGTCCTTGGGACTCACCTGTCCTCACTGCCCAGGTCTAGAGCAGGCCCTCAGGGACCTTTCGCCATGGTGCCCACTCCCAGGTGGCTGGCCTGCCTCTCGAGGGCCGGTCAGGGCTCTTGTCGGCTCTGGGAATCAGCCTCCAGCTGCAGGCACTGGCCTTTAGACTTAACCTGTTTTCCCCGGAGAGAGGGGCCTTGCTTCCCTCCTCAAGGTCCCCCTGTCTCCTGCTCCATCCCTGTCCTGCAGGTGCTCTGAGAGCTGAGGCTTGGAGGTTCCACTTTAGAATTCCTCTGCATTTTCCCAGATGGTTGGGTTGCGAGGCCCACAGTACCCAGTCCCAGCCCCACTCCTGCCTCCCGCTTGCCTGTTCCCTGCCAGACAAATAGCAAGTTTCCTCTGGGCCCAAAGTCCAGAAGAACACGTCCCAAGCCCTGAGCTCAGAGTACCTCCTGGGGTCCGAGAGACTGAGCCTGGGGCCCTGCAGAGTCCACGGAAAGATCTGGAACACCAACACCCCTGCAAAGCGAAGGGGATGAGTAAACTGTGAGAAAGGAAGTGCATCCATCTAAGGGGGATTCCTGTGGAGGCTGTGGAGGGGTCCCTGTCTGTACCCCTCTTCTGCAGATGATAGGGCAGGTGGGACTCAGTTTCCTATTGGAAGTGTCACATGTACCAGGAGCCTCAGGCACAAGGACAGCTTAGCCACTGAAGTCCCCAGAATGGGAATGGGGTAATGGAATAGATCTAGAGGAAAATCTTGTCAGCAGGCAGTGTCAGGAATATTTCTAGATGTATATAATAGAAAAATAATAACAATAGCCTTGCTCATATAACAAGCAGGGTTAAGGCTGGTGACTGTTCCTGGTAATTCGATGACTCTGCAATTTCATTTGCCTTTCTTCTATAATTGCAGGATAGTTGCTATGACTCCAAACATCACATTCAAGATAAGATGTCCCTTATATTTCCATATCATAAGTTGAAACTCCAAATTAAGCATCATTGCTTAATCTGTGGCAAATCTATGAGACAGAAAGTCTAGAACACAACTGAATATCAGACCATGCTGGTGATAAACTCTCCGCCAGTTTCCTTCACTGTAAAATGGAATTACTCAATGATACTTTCATCCTAGGGTTATTGTGTAGTTTAAATTAAATAATGCACATTAAACACTTTAACTGTGTCCTAGCATAGTTTTTCCCAAAATGTTGCTTAAAAATTCATCTTCGTGAAGCTGACCATTTAATTCCCAGAGATCTGTTTAGTATGGAAACCCCCCAAGTACTGCTTTGGTCACTGAATTATTTTGGTATCTACTTTAAAGCTTATGGCTGGTTATCTCATGCCATCAATCTGTTGCATCTTATTTGAAGAAATGAACTCCACTCCATTTAGAGAAATACACTCCATGTGTTTGTTCTATACTGAATTTAGAATGGCAGTAGATCTTAATAATGTGAGGTCCTGGGGCTGGAGCGATAGCACAATGGGTAGGGCATTTGCCTTGCATGGAGCTGACCCGGGTTAGATTCCCAGCATCCCATATGGTCCCCTGAGCACCACCAGGAGTAATTCCTGAGTACAGAACCAGGAGTAACAGAACCCTGTGCACCACCAGGTGTGACCCAAAAACAAACAAAAAAAAATAATGTAAGGTTCAGTTCATTAGAAAGAA